CCTTTAAAAATAGTATATTTTTTTAGGGATTACACACATAGCCGAACAAATTCATTGTTTACTTTTCCTAACCTATATACCTATATTATGCACTAGTTATATACAGTTATACATTTATTATATATGAATTATACTTGTATTATATATTCACCGGCTATTTTTAGCTTAAGCGGTTGGTTGGCATTTCTTCTATTTTAAGAATCCGACCCGAGTACGATACATTTTTTTGAGAGCTCATACGACATAGATTAAACTCCCAATCAAAGTCACGAGGAACATGCAATCAGAAATTCTTGATATTAAATACTTAAAGCTTACTTCTTCTTCTCATAATTATACATTTTGGTTAACATATGTTACTATTTTAGGCATGGAGATTATGGAAAGAAGATAAGGCAATGGACTTAGTGGATCAATCACTACAAGAATCATGCAACAAAGAAGAAGCAATTAAATGCCTTAATGTTGGGCTTTTGTGTGTACAAGAAGATCCAAAAGATCGTCCCAACACAACAAATATAATAATGATGCTTGGTAGTGAAAATATTATTTCTCTTCCAAGGCCAAATCAACCAGCTTTTATGACAAGAAAATGTGCTAATAACACATCTTCTTCTTCTGCTACTAAATCAGATGTTGTTTCCAATAATGAGCTGACTGTCACCATTGAAACAGGTCGATAACAAGCTATGTTGCTCGAGTTAGTCAAAAATGTCGCTGAGTATCTGTCGGTTCCTCCAAAAGTAGTATTTTTAGAATTTTAGAGGATCCAATTAGACTGTGACAGTATTTTTGGAGACATATATAGCTGCATTGTTAGTGTTAATGAAACTAAGTTACTAGAAAAGTCCCTAATTGTAATATGATGTGTATGTATATATATATAGAACTGCTGACTAATATTTTTAATGCAAAAGCAAAGTAGGACATTGGATTAATTTGCAAGAGTTGATGGAAAATAACATCACTATATTCTCCATGATTTTCAGTGTAAGCACGTAATTTTTGACCCGCACGGGTTTTAAGAGTTATTCTTAGTATTCGCAGTATCTATTTGATTTTACGGAATTGTAGTATATTTTTATCTTCAATTCTAATTTTAAACATAAAATCGAAAATAAAAAAAATAGTTTCATATTATGATATAGTTTTACTTTAATTAATTGGAATTAATTTTAAGTTATTTAAAGGGAAGAAGTTTTAATTGGTTAATTTATGGATTTTTAGATTTGAAGAGTCCAAAAGTTTGGCCCAATTTCGAATTTGTCTCTTGAGCCCAATATCCCATAACCCACAAGTCCTACCCAATCCCTTTAACCCGTCGGACTTACCCATCCGACCCGCCCCAAATACCCATTTTAATCTTAGCCATCCACTCCCTTTAATTCAGTGATCCACATTAATTCCCACACCCCACATAAAACCCCAATTTCTTTAGCCCTAAACCTAATAATCCTAAGTCGCCGCAGTCCCCATTCCCCTTCACATCTGCTGCCTCAGCTACGCTCAAACCCTCCAAAGATCCGAGCCCAATCCCCCACGTGATCCCTGCCTCATCTCATTTCTCCACGTCACTCTAATCCTAACAGATTTCTGACAAACAGAATTATTCTTTTCGGATTTCACGCACTCCCTCTTATTTTTCTGTCAGAGTTATGCTCTTTTGGCGAAAATAGGAAAAATGTGAGGCGTAGGATCGAGTCGCACTCGATCTACTCCTTACATCTGTCTTATCTCGCTAAACCGAGATGATTTTTAGATTTTTGGGGGTGATTTTTGGATTCCTTGGCATCCAAGGAGAGAAGGTTCGATTGAAGCTATAAATAGGAAGATTTTTCGGAGAATAGGGGGGATTTGTTTTGGCAGATACTTTTAATAGAAAAATTAGGGTTCTAAGAGAGTGTTCTTCTTCTTCTTCTTCTCAATTGTCTATCTACAGTAAAAAAAAAATTTAGTTTAAGTTCCGAAAAAAGCAAAAAAAACAAACAAACAAAATATACAAAAAAAAAGGGTCCAATTCAATCTTTAGTTTTTTTTAAAAAAAAAAAAAAATCCAGAAACCCATTACAAAAAAATGACTTACCGTTCTTTTTAGTTGAGTAGAGATTCCGACTTCAAATCTAAAAAAAAAAAGTTTCTATTTATTGATCTTTGATTTTGAATTTGGTTTCAAAAAATGGATGTGAGTTGAGGTTTGAAGCTGTTTCAATTCGCCGTCCGGAGGTTCAAGTTCGTGGTTCCGATTGAAGATTTTTTTTCTTCTCGATTGTTGCTGCTTGTTCTCGTTGAATTTTTGGAATCAGAATTTGTGTACTTGTTGATTCTTCAACTGTTAATAAGAAATTTTGGCTTAACAGGTAACTTTCTATTACTTCTACTCTATTCTGTTTCTTGGTTGTGGTTAAATGAGAGTTTGTTAGTTTGAACCTTTGGGTGCTAAAGTATTTACGATTGTTTTCCTGTCTGTGATACTACAGTTAGTTTATCTTCTCTTATTGAAGTAAAATTGAAGATTTGAATGAGTAATTTGCGCTTTTCTTGAAAGTTGGTTGACGTCAGTGGAATTTAGAGTTTAAATTAAAGCGCCGAGAATTCTGTTTCGGTCATTCTTTGAGTTCAACTTGGTTTTATTTCGCAGTCGTGAATTTGTTGTTATCAAATGGTTTAGAGCTCTCAAAAAATAGAATACCCAGCTTGACATTTGTTTTCCTTAACCGTGTTTAATGTTTTTTTTTCATAGTGATTAGTTAAAGAAATTCCTTATTCCTTCAAATACCTGTTAATCCTAGGTCGTATGTTCTGAAAGAATATTCTGTAGTTAAATTTCAGCAAGTGCATTATTATTTCATGTTAAATAATCTAGTGCAATAATTATGTGAGTAAGAACCAGCTTCTTTGCGGTTAATCCGCTGAATTGGTATGTCAAAATCTTTCTGATTTGCGGTAAGGTTTTCATGTTTTAAGCTTTAATTAGGTAGAATTAAAATTATTTAGTGCGTGATGGGGTACTTTGTTCATTTGAAAACTGATTTGTTGTGTGTTACTAAAAGTAATAGCTTCAGTTTATCTTATTTTTCGTACTGTCGCCTTCTTTGAATTATGTTTGTTCTTATTTGCTTGGTTGTCTATTTTATATGTTATGTGTGAATGATTGGATTGAAATGTTTCTGATGACTGAGTCGAACCGTGGGAGTGAGGGAGAGACCGAAGCCCATTAGCAATTGATTTGTCTCTTTGCTTTAGGTATCGGGCTCGGTCTAATAAAGGATAAGTTAAAGTGATATGGGCATGAAATCTCTCTTTTGCAAAAGTGCTCCATAATCTCAAGCCTTTCACGCATAATTTCAAAGTAGTTTAGAAAATAATTCATAAATATCGTAGCTTGCTTTAGGTGCGATTGATAAATCATCGTGGCCATAGGTACGGTTCCCGTGGCATGGTCACGATACGTAAATCTCATTCGAGTGTGTATTTCATGTGACCCGACCATAACTTCGAATAATAATAAAAAATAAATATTTCGTGAATCGCGAGTGCATTTCATGTGGCGCGATTTGCAATGTGTATCAAAACGACAAGTATACGACATCGTGACTTGTTCCAGAAATATTTTCATAAATACTAAAAGCGGTTAAAAAGTAAAAATGCACAATAGGTTTCAAACATGCACTAAATCAGATAATTAGGCCAGTTATTAACAGTTGGGCGACCGTGCTAAAACCACGGAATTCGGGAGTGCTTCACACCTTCTCCCGGGTTAACAAAATTTCTTACCCGGTCTTCTGTGTGCACAGACCATAAATAAAAGTCAATTTTCTCGATTTGGGATTTAAAATAAATCGGTGACTTGGGACACCATAAATTATCCCAAGTGGCGACTCTGAAATAAATAAATAATTTTATTTCGATTTATGTCACTTAAATTGAAAAAACTCCCCTATCCCTTCGGGAAAAAGGAGGTGTAACATTCAGCACCTATAAGTTCTTAGATAATTCATTCATCTCATTAAATATAAGCAAAGCTTCGTTGGTGTTACCCACTTTTAGTTAATAATTGAATAAGAAAGAAACATAAAAAGAAAACCAAAGTAACTTATAACTCGGGAAACATACATGTGGCATCCCTTTTTCTTGATTAATCTTAAATCTTTTAATAGTTGCAGACTTAAAGAACTTCTTGTAAAGGACAACATTTTGCGAATTTATTTTGGGTTTCTCACTCTGGCGTCCATATTCTGTTAGAGCCCAACTAAATTTAAATTTACACCTTAAAGTCTTAGACCGGTGATATTTTAAAGCGCTTTTTAATAAAGGCGACTTCATATGGATGAGGTAATAGCCTTGTGGGTAACAATTGGGAACTATATTCATAAATGTACATGAGTGTCAGAATCAATTAATATATTTTATAATTGTGAAAGGGGCCTATGGACATTATTATGAAAGCTAGCACTAGTAAATGCTGCATTTTTGGACTAAAAACTATCAAAAATAATCACGTCCAAGAATCTAAGGGGAGATGCAACATTTAATGGAAACAATAAATATAGAATGCAAGATCTAGTGGCAAGTAAATTAAGTTTCAAAATATTATATATTTTTTTGAAAAAATCACCAATTCCATTTAGTTATTGATTAATTATTTGTGGCCAAGTAAATTCCCTCTAACTTGTCCCATTATCTAGGTTGAAATACTTGGGCGTCCATCAAAGACAGAGTTAGGATTTAAAGTTTATATGTTTCGGACTTGTCATCGAAACTCATAGCTTGTCTTAGTTATTGAGACCGTAATTATATAATTTATAAATTTCTTAATACAAATACAGGGTATAAATAAAAGATATTGAATTCGCCCCAACAAGTAGCTAATACACTAGCTCCGCTCTGAATCCATCGTATGTTTAGTAGAAAGACAAGTCATTTTCTCAGAGTCTTCTTCCACAAAACTTTTGGTATAAATATAGGCATATTATAGAACCAAGTTAACCATATATCTCCTCTCCTCCTTCAGCCACCCGCACCCACACTCTTATTTCTTCTTCTGGGAAAATAGAAAAGGGAATAATTAATTATAAGGAAGAGGTAAGAAACAAAAAAAAATGGGGTTTATGTATCATATATCAGAAATATGTGAAGTTTCAAGTAAAAGAAAGAGTAAAAAACACAAAACCATGCAGGTGCACTTGTTTACTCCTCATTTTATCTATATCTTTATCTTTTTATAGTATTATTTTTCTTACATCGGTATAGTGTTGGTATGATATTTTTTTTAAAAGTAATTTCGCTGTCTGACGGCGAAACCCTTTCTTATATCATATGGTATGATATGAGCGTAAATAGAGAAACATGATCAGTACGGTACATGCGTGTGCATAGTCGACCTTAACTTGTTTGATATTAACGCGTAATAATAATAGCTGTTGTTTTTGTGTCTATGATCGGATGATAGTATATCTCTATATGGAGGATGATAATATATATGATTAATTGGATGATCTTTTTATCTCATTTTGCTAAACAATTTTCAGACAGTTGAAATAAAGGTAAAAATGGACTGCGATGGCTGTGAAAGGAAAGTCAGAAATGCGGTTTCCTCCATTAAAGGTTCATCCTTTCATATTTTTAACCTATTGTAGGTTAATTGTCTTGTTCTCTATAAGTTATTAATCTGATATTTTATGAGCAGTTATCTGTAATAATTTTTAAGGTGAACTTGATAATGTAAAAATACTTTCATATATTAGTGTATGTAAATTAAACTCTTAAAAAATTTGTTTGATTCCCGACTAAAATTAATTAGTTCAGCCTTTTATGTATCCTTCTTTATAATGTGATTGTTAGTCTCAAAATTATCTAGAAGATGAGGATTAAATTATCTAGGTTCTTGATACTTCCAGTTTTTACTTTTTCACCCATCAACTTTTTCTATTACTATTATTTTGGTGCTACACACACACATCTTTCATAAATGCACCTTGTGTTCTCAACAAACAAAATTAAATAGACATATATAATAAGAAAAAAATAAACAATATATAGGCCCTTTTATTTCCAATCACAAACCTGCTTTTTCATATTTATTATAGGCTACTTCTTATGATAGCTACAATGTCCTTGTCATATTCTACTCACTCTCCATGTTAATTTACTGTCGATGTTGTTCGAACTCTTCAAAAATATCACTGGGTACATGTCGGATCTTTCTAAAGCGGTTCATTTTTGGAAGATCCGACATGAATTCGGCAACATTAATTTTCGAAAAGTCCGAACAAAATATATATCTATCAACTGCTAGTGGGTGTCAATTGATACCCCTTCGCAGGAAAATTAAAATATATTGTTAGGTGTAAAAAAAATGTATGCATATACTATAAATTGAATCCCCTTAATTTTTTTATATTTTGACACCCCTTACCGAAAATTTCTATTCCACCACCTGACAATACATGATTCCCGTTTAGATTGAAACTTAATTTTTTCTTCTATATTTCTATCTTTTAGGCGTGAAATCAGTGGAAATAAACAGAAAAGATAGCAGGGTGACAGTGACTGGTTATGTAGAAAAAAGCAAGGTATTAAAGAAAGTACAGAAAACTGGAAAGAAAGCTGAAATCTGGCCATATATTAAATATAATTTAGTATCAAATCCTTATGCTGTTGGAGTATATGATAAGAAGGCACCTTCTGGTTATGTCAAGATTGATCCTCAAGCTCTTCAAATTCCAAATACCCCTTCTGAGATATTCACTTCTATGTTTAGTGATGAAAACCCTAATGCTTGTTCAATTATGTAAATTTGTCTTGGAAAATTAGTACAATATAGTAAAAAAGAAGGGATTCTTACACAAATAGCTTGCTAGATTCAATGTTTACTTTTTCTAGCAGATATACATAGATTATATAATGATTATACAAATATATACATATATAATACATAAATTATATATCAGCTGGCTATTTTTAGTTTAAGAGATTAGGTGAGCAGCTATTTGGGTTAATTCTTAAAAAAAGAAACATGGAAGTGACTAGGCATCTTAATCTCAAGTGTCACTACAAGAAAAAGAATTAGCCAGGGGAAATCTGGTCGCTAAATATCCTAATACGATCCTTATTGGTCAAATACAACCAGATCCGATCGTCAGCGATCACTAAAAGCTCAGACATCATAACTACATTCTGATGCAAAACTTTCGCATCCCGTGTTTAAATAAATAAATGAATGCAAAACTTGTGTATCATACACGTATTTCTCACTTAACCATATATATATTCTCACTTAATTTTTATCCACTCAAGCATATACAATCGTAATATGTGTAATTTGATATTATAAGGTTAAGTTAGGAGTATCTATAGATCTAGATGAGCTAGGGACATTGCAACATATGTCTAGGTTGACAAGATCCGCCTAGAAATCAAAACAATTCAAGCAATTTTAGGTCATATGCATGCATGTATAACTAATAGTCAGCAATATACCTCTTTTGATATTTCTCTTATGGCATGTTAGTCATTTAAATTCGAAAAATATATATTTTTAGACGCTCCAAAAAATAATAGCAAATAATATATATATATNTCAATTTTGTATTTTGCCCTTTAAATTGGGGGGCTTTGGCATCTATACTCGGTTTTGGGGTCATAATTGAACCTATACCCACTTTGCAAAAACAATTACAAGCGTACCCACTTTATGATCAACTTCAGACTTATCGGGTCTGAAGTTAAAAAAAAATAGTCTGAAGTGAAAAAATTACACTTCAAATGCACTTAAGGTCAAATAGTCTGAAGTGCAACAAACTTTTTCATTCACTTAAGGCCAATGAGTCTAAAGTGGAAATTTGCACTTCAGATGCTCTTAAGGCCAAATAGGTCTGAAGTGTAACCAATGGTTTCATGCACTTAAGCCCAATAAGTTTGAAGTAAAAAATTGCACTTCAGATGCACTAAGGCCAAAAGATGTGAAGTGCAACAAATATTTTACTACACTTAAGGCCAATAAGTCTGAAGTGAAAAATTGCACTTCAGATATACTTAAGGCCAAAAGGTTTGAAGTGCAACAATCGTTTTGTTACACTTAAGGCCAATAAGTTTGAAGTGAAAAATTACACTTCAGATGCACTTAAGGCCAAAAGGTTTGAAGTGCAACCAACGTTTTTATGCAATTAAGGCCAAATAGGCCTAAAGTGCAAATTGCCGAGAAACAGAAATTTGTTCTTCTAATTATAACAATACAATATACGATTTAATACCTAAATCTACTCCGAATGAGCTCAAATTTGAAACATAACCTCCAAATATCATCATGAACAAACCTCAATCATCAATTTGTCAATACGACAATAAATCTAATAAACCCATTTTGCAAGTAAGAAAAAGAAGAAAAAGAAACCCTAAGCAATAGTAAAAAATAAAGCATCATAACAACTCACCATTGTAAAATATCATAAACTACATTAAAATATGTTCACAATCACCATATAAAATCATTGTCACTCGAAGAAGAAGAAGAAGAAGAAGAAGAAGAAGAAGAAGAAGAAAAAGGAGGAGGAGAAAGAGGCCTGAAATTGTTTAAAAAGTGGGTATAAATTAAAACTTTTTTAAAAAGTGAGTATAGGTTAAATGGGGGCGACCAAATAGGATGCCCCGTGCAATTTTTACCTTTAAATTCTCAATCATGTTCAATGTAATTGGGCCTCAAAAGGCTGATGCTCTAATTGGGCTATTGACCAACTTGTCTTCCTAATCACTATAAAAATGAAAATTTTCGATGAAATTTGTCCGAAATTGGCTCGTTGAAAATCCCTTCCCGACGAGCCAATTTATGTCGTAATTCGCATTTTGTTATTTGTGTCAAGTTCTTAATTTTAGTTATTTTTCTGAAATTCTTTATTTTTTTATTTACCTACGACCTTCCAACTTAGAAGGATTACTAGCGTGTCCATTTACCCTCCTAACGATTTCAACCTCTAGCTCTACAGGTTAACGGTACAATATAATCCTTTACAATTTTAATAGGAGAAAATAATCCCAAGATATTTTATTTTCGAATCTCTTACGTGCTCTTAGAAGATTTGATATATAACTAAAAAAATAATAATAAATCACAAAATCAATTGATCACATGTTTGGATTGATAAGAGAGTTTGATTTCGATAGACTCTGGGCTTAACATAATTAGAAAACATTTTGATGTGATTGGAATCTTTAGAATTTGAGTAACTGATCATATTGATGAATGCCATTGCTGCATTGGTCATTTGTTTCTTCCTCTTGTAATTAAATATAGCAAAACAGGACAAAATTGCATGTCAAAAAAGGGAACATTATGTAACAAATAGAATTGTGTCTCTTTATATATGTAGGGTATGTACTAAGTTGTCTCCATATATAAAGGACAATGAGGATTCATTCATACAAAAACAAAATTTGAGTTGTCTATCAAACAGCTAAAGGTCCTACTCTTTTTTATTCTCTTTATGTTGCATTTGAGATGCATGATTTCTTCGCTATCGTATTTCTTTTTGAATTGATTTAATTTTATTTTTTTAATTCGATGGTCTATCAGAAGGACTGTATACACACTATCGTTTTTAGATCTTACTTATAGAATTACACTTGGTATATTATTATTGTTTGTATTTAAAGAAGATAAATGGAAGTAACAACAACCCACTATAATTCACTAGTAGGGTCTGGGGAGGGTAATTTGTACGCAGACCTTACCCCTACCCTGGGGTAGAGAGACTGTTTCCGATAGACCATCGGCTTCCTCCCTCCAAGAACTCCCCATCTTGTTCTTGGGGTGACTCGAACTCACAACCTCTTGGTTGATATATTGCAGGTGATTTTTTTCAAATTTTAGGGCGTTGTTTGGGGTCGTTTAGCAAATAAATGAAAAGGGATGAGAGAAAATTGAATCGCTACGGATAAATCTTCATTAAGTTTAACTTTTGTAGTTCCGTAGAAGGATCTGACTATATTGAATCTATTGTACGTGATCTTATTTTGTATTTCTGCGAGGCATTCTTTTTACGATTTGAACTAGTGACTTTTTGATCACACGACACGGACTCTTACCGTTGCTCCAACTCCAAGGTCCCATTTCACTTTAAAATTTTAGATATTTAAAAATTATCCGACAACAATCTTGTCACGAATCAGCAGTAGACTTTGGACTGAAAAAATTATTTGGAATTTTGTTTTTGTTTTTGGGACTCAAAGAATAACTTGGAAATTTGGAAGAGATAAGGGCTACATATTTTTGCACTTAATTTCCTCCATTCAATATGAAGTTGTTAGTAGTAGTACAGACAACTCATTAGTCATTTCCTTAACCTTCCCCCACTTTTAGGAATTGACAATATCTAAAGAAGATCAGTTTTGGGCCCCCAAAATCAAAGATATTAAATAGTGGGCCACCTGGGCCTGTAGAATTATGTACCAAAAAGAAAAACAAGCAAAATGAAAACTTAGCAGCAATAGCTATTTTACACCTCCGACAACTAAATAATTATATTCCTAGCAGACACCTTTGAATCATTCACCTATAATCAGTTAATCACACACCAAATGCATTTATTTCCTTAATGAAGACGTTCCTATTATATTTTAACATTTTTTTCTATATTTTCCATTGAAACCAATCCCTAACATATTTAAATGGTAATACATTTTACTATTTTTTTGTTGGAAACTAATTCATTTCATAACAAATTTTGTACTTCCCATACATGGATCTTCTTCTTACTAGAAAAAAAAAAGTACATGTACCTTTTTATACAGCATAAACTCTAGCAAAAGTATACATCTTTATATTTTGAAAGAATGAAAAATGTAATTTATATTTAAGGTATATATTCATTATAAATCATGTAATTTTATATCATTATTACACCAAGGAGTACATTCTTATTAAAAAGGTCAAAGGTATGTTATTATATTAGTATACATAATATTTCACGAAATATCATTATACTAGTTATATATATAATATTGTACCTTAATATTTCTCTAAAAAAAATATTATACCAGATATATATAATATTATCATTCAATAAAATTATACCATGTATATTAAAACATTAGTATACAAAGAAAACTGCTAAAAATTTATAGCAGGTATAAAATACCTCTAAGGTATTTATTGAGTACCCAAGAGATTTGGAATATAAAAATGGAGAATAAGAAGATGAATCATGAAAATGTTCAAAATGGTATAATAGGCGAAAAGAGGGGAAAATCTTCGAGAGATTAATTAAGGTAATTTTTTGTTTATGGAAGAGTGAGAAGAAATCAAATTAATAATATTGATATAATTACTTATGAGGATAGAAACCGATTCCTCATTTTTAGTGGGGGCAGTAACGTTTATATGGTAGTTATATTAAATGTAGATTTTATTTTAAATGCGATATATCACGTTTTGGCTGAACTTGTACTTTAGCACTTATTTAGAAAATCACATTTAATTCTTTAAATTGCTATTAAGGTAAATAAATCTATCATTTTTAAAATAAACCAAAAATTGTGTTGTTTACATAAATAAGTTTCAGAATATGACCAACTGCATAAAAATGTAATAATTGCACGGGGCACCCTATTTGGTCGTGCCCATTTAATCTATACCCACTTTTTAAAAAAGATTTAATTTGTACCTACTTTTTAAATAATTTCAGGCCTCTTTCTCCTCCTCCTTCTCCTCTTCGTTTTCTCAATGTTGAAGCTTGAGATATTGTTATGCGTTCTAGCCTGATGATTCATATATTTCTGCATGTCCCAATATGTTTAGTTTGGTCTTATTCACGATAATTTAACCTCTTAGATATTTTAGCTTTACAGACACATTAGT